GAAGGTCCCGAAAAGGTGAAAAACTAAAAAACGAAATTCTGCTGAGCCGCTGCCTTTAAGCTACTGTGATCGTCAGAAGTAAACTACCGCCCTCCCCCTCTTCCTTCCGCTTACATTCTCCCATTGAGCAGTACGTCGCCTCAGACTAGCGCTTTTTTCTTTTGAAATTAGCCTCAGTGGGAGGTTTAAAAACCTACTCGAAATCGCTGAAATGTCTTCTCAACCAGATCACATCGGCTGTTTTCCAGTCAGCAACTTCTTCGTATTTGACAGCCGACAACTTTTCCAACATTTGCAGATCATCAGCATAGATGCGAAGTGGTCGTGACAGGTCGCGATTCTTTATGGCTTCCAATGACTTATTCTGAGCTGCTTCAGATGGTAAAGTGTCCAATTTTCGACCACTCTAAAAATATGTCATTTACAAAAAAGGATATGCTCTCTCCCGTATGTCACTCATGGACAATGTGAACATACCAAAAAGAAATTCTCGTCGGGAGCTTCACGAGCAATAGCTTCGTCCATCATTAGCTCTTCCTCCAAATATGGTGCCATAAGAAAACGTCGCCAATCCGGGTGTTGTCGACAAAGCGCGTTATCGGCAAAGTCTCGATAAATCTCTTCTGAAATAAACTGGTATGCTCAAGCAGCAAAATTATAGACGATAAACCTTACCTCCATCTTTCACTTCCTTTGTAAGAAACAACACGCTGTATGCTTCGCCCTGCGGGATGAAGTATAAAGGAACAACTTTAACATTTGGTTTATCTGAATGAGATATTCGTGTTCCAAACTCGTCCATTATATACCACAGCGGCATCGTTTCTTCATCCAGTTCCTGGAGATATTTTCAAGTAAAATCGCGTCATCATCGAACTGAAGCGTATTAATCTACCTTATTGGTTCTAATAGTATATGTTTGAATAGGCTTCCACATTTTCCTGAGGATTTTATCAACGACGGTGTCTTCACTTGTAAGAGCATCGCACAACCGTGCGTCAACAGACTCCAGTCGAGGAAGTGGAGCATCTGAAAAGGCAGTTTGAGTAGCTGCCATAGGTGAGAATGGTAAATTTGATAGCAAGACGTGAATTCAGGTTGCCAACAACATTTGCGGGTAGGGATTGATCATGTGGAAAAAACCTCTAAATGTGTCCTAAGTGGGAATTTTAACACC